TAATATATATATATATATATATATATATATATATATATATATTACGAAGGATAAATTTCCAAAATGAAGTGTGTGTCTCATCTTCCTTAAATATTTATCATGTTTTTTTTTAAAAAAAAATTCATCAAAATCGTTGGAAGGAGTGTTTTCTATTACAAGGGTTAAATATGTTTTTAGTCCCTAAACTATTGACCGTTTCTGATTTTCGTCCCTCTTCCAAAGTAAGGTACAATTTAGTCCTCAATCTTTAAAAAACGTTCGTTTTAGTCGAAAAAACGAACGTTTTGAGGACTAAAACAAGGACTAAAAACAAAATTTTGAGGACTAAAACGAACGTTTTTCTAAAGAATGAGGACCAAATTGTACCTTACTTTGGAAGAGGGACGAAAACCAGAAATGACCAATAATTTAGGGACTAAAAACATATTTAACCCCTATTACAATTGTGATTTATTATCAAAATACCTTACAATTTTTTGGTAACATTAATCATATTGAACATTACACAATATACGTGAATGCATTATATAGCACTGCAGCAGAAAGTGTCGAGTGTACAATTTTTCTTTATACCTTTTGTTCCTTTTGAACTGAATCTTACCCGAAAATTGTCAAAACAATTGAATCAGATAGATAGAAGATGTTAAAAAACCCGAGCAAAACGGAGAAAAAACTCTACTTTTTGCACATAAAGTAACTGCAATAATGCCCTTAGATTCTCTGTATGGGACCTCAATGCAAGAGAAGATTGTTGTTTTCTCATGAGAGGCTTTATGCTCCCACAATCAAAATTATAAATTATTTTCGACTTACAATTCATGACGATGAGATTGTTGCTTTGTCCTCGTATATCTGTTAACATTTTAAATCAAACTGCGTTCAAATGTCTTTTCAAATATTCAAAATTTTACATTGCTTTTGTATTTTTTTTTTCTTTTTTCAAAACCATGCAGTTCAAGAGTTTTTTTTTTCTGTCACGAAATTATCTAAATTTATTCAACCAAATATTAATTTTACAAGCCTTTTCCACTCCATAAAAGCTAAACACAATTGTTTAGCCAATGAAATCATGGATTCATATATAGATATATTACATTGGATTTTCCATACTTCAATGGCTAAATAATTTAAAAAAAAAAAACAGTTCTTCTTTAGTTGTAATGATTAACATTAAAAAAAAAAAATCAATGATTAGGTTTTCTCTCTTTCAACCCCTTCCCATAACTTTCTACAAAAGGGAACCAATATTGATGATGAGAGTGATGAAATTTTTCTACCAAAATGTCATAGATCACGGATTCAATCTATTATTATGCAAAATGTCATACATCTTGTTTTTCTTTTTCTAATTTTAGGTGTTCTTATAAGAGGGAACGAATGATTAATTTCTTAAAATATTGAATTTATTTAAATACTAATTAATTTTAATCTCATAATCACATATTTAAAGAATAAAGTTATTTATCAACTTTAAAGTTTCGATATTTTTCTTTGAGTGCATGCTTACCTTATTTTATATGATTAAATTAAGTTAATTTTCATCTTAGATCTATAAAATAAATAAAATATTCTTTAGTGGAAATACTTTTTTGTTGTACTTTTCCCTTTAAGACGTGTCTCTAACTCAAAATATAAGTTGCATTAAACATGTTCATTCTCAAAAAGGAAAGTTCTTGGTATTATAACTTTGATGTATTACACTTTTTATTTTCTTATTTCCTTTATATATTTATAAAGTGTGAATTGAACATGATAAGAAGAAAGACATGTATAGAAAAAGATATGATGATGGACATAAAATATAATTCTTTTTTCACTTTTGAGCTTTTTCTTCTTCATGTTTTCACTTTACCAGAAACTATATGAAGTGCGTTCTTGAAAACGATAGAGTATATTAAATGTAATTTATTTTTACTTTTTTACTTTTTTCACGCATCATGATTTTTGAGTTTAAAATAAATTAGCTTAATCCGATTTATTTTTTATAGATTAATCTATGTAAAAATATTTTATTTTTTAAATTTATTTTATGTGTTTATTTTATGTATTTATTATAGTACAATCAAAATAATTTAGTTTTATTTATTATTTCATAATATTATTTTATAATAGTATAATCAAATATTCATTTATTTTATCAAATATTATTACAAAAACATTCGATAAAAATTAGAATATCAATTTATTTAATTTAACAAATAAAATATATTAAACATCTAAATTATTTAAACATTGGACATCGTTATAATATTTTCAAATTATCAACCTACATTTAAAAATAATGAATAATTATAATAAAAATTTGTGAAGCAGGTGTACTGGTTTACATAGGGATTAAACCTCACTGATATCTATAAGCAAAATATAATTAAAAGTATAGTTGGTTCTCATGTAGGGTTTTTGAAAGAGACATTTTTTTTTAATTGAAAAGAGAATCCAAAAACACCAGTACTCATGCAAATTTGTCCAGATTTTGGCAGAAAATATCTGCTATAACTTACAACTAATTACATTATTATTTTTACGGGAATTAGAAAAGGATATATAATTACCTCTCTAAATTATGTGTATTAATCTATTTATTATTACTACTGTTATATATATTATATATATGTGTGTGTGGTAAAATAGGTAAATTGAAATAAATTTAATTAAATAAACAAAAGTGAGCAAAAAAAAAAAAATACGTTGGCAAGACTGCTGCCCTGGTACATTAAATATTAATTATTTATTCTGTGATCCATGCCTGTAATTACTTAGTGTAAACAAAAAGCCAAACCCAAAGTCTATAATACATTTGTCCGTTAGTTAATAAAAAACTGAAAAAGAATGGCTTTTGTAAAGCATAAATAAAGAATATGAAAAAACACTTCTTTAATTTATTAAAAAGTTTTAAGAATTATTTATTTATTCTACCCTTAATTTCGACCAGGGTTACTTTTTTTCCCCTCTTTTAATAATTGAATCAAATGGTTCATCTTATTCATTAAATAAGCCACTGGTTTTTATCAACTATGCTATTCATTTAATTATGAAAAATAAAAAGTATTTCTAACACGTTTTTACATTCATTTAATACATTATTCTTTATTTTTCTATTACAAAAATTATATGTAGATGTGTAAACCTATCATTGTCATATCTTGTACTAAGTAGAGTCACATGGTGCTCTTGTCTTTTGATATTTGCTTTAGTTTTTTTTTTCAATTCATTAATGAATTTGATTTCTTTTTTACTTTTGAGTTTTGATGCTGTTTTATTTTTTGGGAACTTTTAAAATCTACTAAAAAAATGTTAAATTTAATATTTTTAAATATATTAAAAAAATAATATAATAACATCAATATATTTTAAAAATTCAGCAAAAATAACACCAAACATTAAGGGAAAAAAAATCTAACTGATATTATGTATTTTCTGGGTCAATAGCTACTAATTGAAGGAATGTGTGTGACCAATGACTGAGTAGGTGGCCACCACAGTCTTTTGCATTGAAGGGAAATACACCAAATAAGAGGAACAGAAACTTCTATTAGAAACTAACTTTAATAATGCAAACAAAAATAGGTAAGTAAATAAATAAATAACCATATTCTCTGTATCTTTCCTTCACTGGTCCTTAGACTCTGCCATATTCAACACCTAAACTAGTCCACAAGGAAACAAAAAACTGCTACTCTTCCTCTTTGTTCTGTTTCCTGCAATGGTCAAGAAGAACATTTTTTTTCTTCTGCTTGTTTATTTTTCTACAGAAAAAGAAGGGAAGAAAAAATTGAAAGAAAAATAGGTGCTTTTGAAAAATACAAACAAACCCACTAACCCAAGTATACACTAATAATAATAATAATAATAATAATAATAATAATAATAATAATAATAATAATACATACTGAACCACATTTTTCAATTTTGGATATGAAAAAACCTAGGTTTTGTGTGCAGTGTGTTTGCATTTTCATTTTCCCAATTTGCTCCTCAAGAGACTCTCTTTGGTTTGAATTGAACTCTTCTTGCCATTCATAATCCTCAGGCTTTGCCTTAACAGGTCAAACTCCCTCTCCTTTTTGTTCTTCTCTTTCTCCATTGCAAGTAATTGGAATTTTAAGACCTTCACAGTTTCCTCCTTTTCTTGCAATTCCTTTCTCAGATTTTCCATTTCTATGTCATTTTCCTCTGCTTTCCAATACAAACCATCCCCTGTCAAAAACCATATCAGAACTTCACACATTTGTTTCAAGGTCATTGGTTACTTTGTTATACCAGTTTCTAAAGAACAAAGTAAAAACTAACTGAACATGTTAATTGGACTCTTTTAGGACACTAATAGCATAATTGCATAAAAGCAAATGGTAAAATTACTATGAATTCATGTTCTGCAACTCATAATTTTGCTAAAAAGAGTATATATAGAGAGAGAAAGAGAGAGACCATCGTATGTTCTTTGAATGAGTTCATCAAGCTCATTCTTGATTTCAAGATATAGTTGCTTCCACTTCTCGACAGCTTCATCTCTTCTTGCTCTCTCCTCCTTCATCTGTTCAACCAAGAGTTTAGTTCCCATCAATTCCCACTCTTTCTGACTGTTCTTCTCCATCAATCCAACCTCAATCTCTCTTATCTTCTCATCCTTCTCTTCTACCAAACTCCTCAACTGCTTCACCTCTTCCCTCAGCCTCTTACCCTCTTGCTTCCAATCTGCCTCCTTGAAAGTGAACACCATTATGTCTCTCTCATAGCTTCTACTGTCCTTCTCCCTCTCATACATCATCTCCTTGATCTCCTCTTGCAAGACCCTAACTTTCTCCTTCAAATTCATCACATATTTCTCAGAAGAACTCCTCCCACTTTTGCTCACTCTTCCACCCATGTTTGCTGCCTCTGGGTCGTGTGTGGTGAAGTTATTATAATAGTGATGATGATGATAACGGTGGAGGATGAATGGTGGTGTAAAACTTGAGTACAGGGTAGGCTATAGGCTCCTGAATATTGATAGAAAACGCACCAAGAATTTTGGCGTATTTTATGAAAACTGAGATAAGAGTGATAGTTGTACTAACATTTCAATAATGGAAGTGGTGAAATGAGACTCGTGAATAGCACTTGACAAGTGAGAATTTACATTCGACACATACACACCACATGTTCTGCCTGCATACCAATTATAAATAGGAATTCACCTATTCACATGCAAATATTTCTCCCCCAATTATTAAACAACATAATTGCCTAATTCCAATTCCTCACACTCCCAATTTTTTTATGCTTATATTTGCTTCCTCGATTGAACTTACCATATAGAATACCATGATTTAATTGTTAGGATACAAGTTCCACATATAATAAAACAAATATAAGATGGAATGATACCAAAAGTAAGTACGTCGGTGAGAACTTCATCCAAAACGGACAATATTTATCCGTGTGAAAAAATCTATGTGTATTGAACCTCTTCATCTAACTAAAAATTTAGATCTAAAGCGTATCGAATTATGAGTCAATTAATGTAATACCATCCAAAATCTTAATAGATTTTTTTGTAAGTCTTTTCTCTTATACATTGTCCATCTTAAATTCCTTAGACATTTGTCTCCTAAATAAGTTATAAGAAATAGTTAACTATATGTTTAACAAATTTAAAACCATTTAGAGAGAAAAGACAAAATAAATGCCAACATTTTCAAGAGATAACATTAGCATCCTTGTGCTGTATTCCTTCCCACATGGCTGACCCTAAACATAACTCTCGTGAAGTTTTGTGACAGTTTATTGGAACTTAATCATAGAAGGGTTTATTTTTTTAGATCAGAAAATTCAGAGACAAGAAAGCAATGGAGAAAAAAAATGTGTACTTACTAGATGACAATTTGGGCAAACAAAAAGTCAATGTTGATCAGACTGAAAAAGAGCAAGGAAAATTCATGCATGCTTACCTTTTGCAATGGGGAAATTCCCCTCTATAATTATCAGCATGTAATATAAAAATGTTTTCAACTTTTCCTGAACAATAGAATAAACTTTGCCCCATAAGCCACATGAGTAACACTTAAACCCACATAGATGTGTATTTCTTATATAAAAAAAATGGTAGAAAAAAGCATTGGATGGTCCATAGCAGATAGCAGATAGCAGATAGCAGCAGATTAGGAGAAGAAAGGTTGTAATGGGAAGCACATTTAGAGAGTGTGACAACAATATTCTGAAAGTGAGACTCAGCCATGTTGGAGAAGCATCCTATATTTTGCAGGCATTAATGATTGTGTTTTGGTTGGAAAGAAACAAATTTTCAATGTGTGATATTTGTATATTTCCCAATACGACATGATGGTGCATGCTGGTACAAAAAAACATTAATAATGGTATGTGGATGCCACCTTTGGATTCCCTGCATGAAAAGGACTTGTAGCATTCCTGTGATTATGGCCTTGTAGTGTAGGTTTTCCCTGCAAGGTCAATCACTCAGCATCATTAAATTGCTCTGTGTTTTTCTTCATCTTCTTTGGTATGGTATTTAAATCTTACTGTCCTTTCTACATGTCAGTAGATATATATTTCTCCCCATGCTCTCCTTATGCTTCCAAATCACTGTACAAATCTCCTTAAATTGCAAACTAAAGTGGTTAAAAAGTTATCCAGTACATATGTTAAGTGTCTTGTTTACTCTCATATTTATGGTTTCCACTTGTTAGGAATACACAAAATTTCACATTCACAAGGGCTAATCACAAAATTCAATAATACATAACAATAATATATGCCTATAAACTTCCAGTACTTTAGGTTAAAAATGAATTCCAAATATTAGAGTCAAATTCACCTTTTAAAAGAAAATTTTATGGATTAATCGTATTAATGCAAAATTGCATAAACCATTCCGTTTATATATATATATATATATATATTAGATATATATATATATATATATATTATATATATATATATATATATATATATATATTATATATATGTATGTCGTATGTATGGTAAATATAGTGTTATTTATTTTTATTTTAACTCTTTAAGTTTTTTATTCATCGAGTTGGATGTATATTTATTTAAGATATTATTATGGTTGTCTTATAATATGGATTTTTTGCTTGGAAAGGAAAATATTGATAGTGGAGAGATAATTTATTTTAGTACTGTTAAAACATGAGAAGGTAAAGCGATATTTCATGAGAATTATTTATAAAATTCAAGATAGGACAACCTCATATTTATGATTTGATAAAATTTTATGTTTCGAAACTTTGAATGAAATAATTAGCTATGACATAAGAAAATAAAAGAAGTTATAAATAAAATAATTCAAAAAGACAATGTGAATAATTGAAAGAACAAAATTAGCATGGAGAAGAAAGTAGTTTATTTTTCAAAAAGCATTACACTTTGTAATATAAAATCTATATGTAACATGCCTAAGCATAATGATAATGTTAGGAGATTATGTAGTAGTAGATCTAATATCGATTAAGTCTAATAGTCAAGCTTATGTTATAAGCTAAAATAAGTGAGGAAATACTTAAAATAAAGTCAGATGAAAGATGAAAAGAGTTTCCATACGAACAAAAATACTTAAATCACTAATAGAATCTTTTCCTAATGCAGATGGGAGCCATCACTTAGTTGATTGTGGTAAAAAAGATTATTTCATTTAAAAGTAATAGTATTGTTTAGAAGGGTAATATGAATTACAATTTTTTGTTAATGTTTTTTTGTTGGTACCTATTGCTATAAAAACCAGTCATAATGGATCAAAAGTCAGACAAGTGTTGGAAAAATTTATGGAATCCGTGTAATTTTATTTTTCTGAAATGGTTAGATTTTGAAAAAGTTATTGATAAGGGTAAACAGTGATTGCAATTTCTTATTGATAAATTAAAGTGTGAGAAAAGAGAAGTGAAAAGCTGACAATGACTACAATTTGTTAGGATATTGTATTGAAAATAATTTTTTTATTGTAACTGATTGCTCCAAATATTGTTCTTTTATATAATTACAATATAGAGTTTTTATTATAAACATAAAAAAGTGATAAAATGTATGTATTATTTATAATTTTAATTAGAAATTAAATTGTTCACATTAGTATAAAATAAAATGATTATATTTTTAAATTGAAATATTTATACAACTTCATAAGTAAATTATCTATAAATAATTGATATAGTATAATTATAAATTGAAAGTTAAAATGGTTAGTAATAGTCAAGAATTAATTTTTCATCTATAAGAGGTAGAACATGCATAATAGGGACACATATGAGGTTAAAGAAAAAAAAAATGATAATTCATTAATATTCTTTGAGCAAACTAAATAATAACAATTTAATAATGACAAGTTACCATGTGAGGTTCAGTTCAGCGTTCCATAAAAAGTTCTTAAAATGAAAATTAAGCTTCACTTGTATGTTTTAATTTACTCATATCATTGTATATTTATTGTAAAAACTGAACGAGTCGAACTTAAAACATTGTAAAATTAAATATCTACAGAATTTCACACTTATATGTGATCCCAATTTTCAAATTCAATCTTATAAAATTGTTTCTTCTCAATTTGATGAAATTCAATCTCGTAAATTTCGCTAAGTTTCCTTTTTCATGTGAAATTATTCAAAACATTTCACACTGATTATGTTACTATCATATTTTATACGTTAATGTACCATTTAGTGAAAATAAAGTATTCAACTAGAGAATGTTTACATTTTTTAGTAAATGTATTTAAACTATTTAAGTTGTCTCCATAGTTCAAAATTTATATTTTACATTGATGACAGGTATTTTATATAGATAGTAAAACGGATTAGATTTAACGGCCAGTATAGTCTATTCCGCCCGATGTATTTAGTCCATTAATTTGACATATCAAATGTGAGTCAGTTTAACCCGGTCCATTGTTTTTTTTTTAAATTAAAAATAATTTAATAGATGAACTTTTTATGTTATATTTTTTAAAATTTTAAATATATAATTTTATTATAATTTAAATAATTAACATTTACAAATTAATTTTTAATTATTAGGTATAATAAAGTAATTTAACCTGAAAATACAATAATTATTTTACCTTATCTAACTAAAATATTAACTAATCAATTAAAAAATTTTAAAAAAATTATATGATTAAATAAAGTTTAATATTCATTTATAGGTACATATAAACAAATTTAGAAAAAAATAAAACAATTGAAAGATTCATTATTAGTCTGGCACAAAGGATTTTAGGGGTGTTGCTCCCTCTACCAACCGTATACTTCTTCCACCTCCCCACATTATTTTAAATACAATTATATCTTTAAGTTAAAAAGATTTTTACTTTTACTCTATTTTAAATAATTTGAAACCCTAATTTTACTTTCCTAACACCCACCACGGAAACTCTTTTCTCCTTTCCCCATTTCCGTTTTACCTCCCCACCTACCGCGCTTCCATTCCTTTTTCTTCACTTTTACAAAATCATTACGTTTAAAAACTAATTATATATCACATCCAAAATTAAAATATAAACTAATATAAATATACATTATTAAAATACATTAAAAATATATTCAAAAATAATAAATCAAAACATTTAAATTAAATTATTAAAATATCTAATAAACTAATAAAACAAACCCTAAAAAAAATGAAACCTTTAAATAGAGGTGACATCCCTCAACGGATGTCAACATCCGTTTAAGGTATCCGTTTTACCTTAAACGGATGTTGACATCCGTTGAAGGATGTCACCTCCGTTTAAAGGTTTCATTTTTTATTTTAGGGTTTTATGTCATGGTTTATTCGAGTACACACATGAAGGAAACACCACACACGCACTGCACCACTCCACGCACTGTACCACGAGAGCGACACTGCATCACCACGAGAGAGACTGCTTGATAATTCTTTCCACCACCACCATCCTTTGCAACTTGTAGTATCTCATAGCAGACCAAAAAAAGAGAGGAACAAGTATAATGTTAAAATGAAAGAAAAGTATTTTACTAATAAAAGAAAATAAAAAAAATTATTAGTGAAATAGATTATGAAAGAATAAAATTAAAAAATAATAACCCTAAAAATAAAATTTTACTGAGGGGCAAAATAGTAAATGAGAGGTGGAGAGAGAAAGGTATGGTG